AATATTATTTCATGGTCAGGTTAGTTCTTAAAATATGTTTGACAAGAAAACCAAAGGATTAGAAACAAAAACAAACAGAAAAGGTGGAAACGAAAATAAACCAAATGATAATGATGTTTGAAACGAAAGGAAATGGTTATTTGCATGTCATGCTTGAAACGGAAGGTTTAAGGTTAAGAGGACTTACCTTGCTTGAAGCTGGAATGCGGGTTTTGAACTTGAGTTGCTGCCCTGGGTGCTCCTAGATTCGAAGAGAATGGGACAAGTGTTGTATTTCTTTGACTGTATTCGAAAGAAAGAAAAAAGTGTTAGGTTACTTTTGGATTCAAAAGAGAAAAGAAATAGGTGTTGTGTTTCTTCTGGATTCGAAGGAAAAAGAAACAAGTGTTGTGTTTCTTTAGTTCTGGGTTTGAGAGTGTGTGAAGTGTTTGATGATTTTTCACACAACCAAAGTTTCTCGAACTACCAAAATCCCCCTTTAGATGTGTGCTGGAACCTCTTATTTATAGATGAAGTTGACTGAGGTTTGGGGGGGGGGGGGGGAACAAAAGAAATTTGAACAAATTGGGTAAGCTATTCTTGTAGTCTTCGGGGTGCAGTATTTGTATGCTAAATTGGTGCAAGTATGGGAGCAGCGTAGTAGGACTGCTTTACAACAATTTTGGAGCGTTGTGGCCAGTGCAGTAGGATTGGACTTGGCAGCACATAAGACTCTGGCCAGCAAGCATCTTTGAATATTTCACCCTTTCGTTTTGACCTCATAGGTCCAACCTTCAACCAGAACCTCTCTTCAGACAATAATATTTGTTCCCAAACAGTATGTGTCTTTCGAATGGGCCCTTTGTGCATCCTTCGAAGGGGCCAAATGTATGCCCCTTGAATAGGCTATCAAAATATGTCCTATGAATGGGACACCCAGGTATGTCTTTTAAATCCACCAATGCATGTCCTTCGAATGGGCCACCAACTATATGTGTTGGAAGTTTTCAAGGATGGAATCGAAGCAAGCATGAGGGGAGTCTTGTCCAGTCGAAGCTAGTGTGAACATAGCCAATACCCTGTCGAAGCTTGTGTGCAGGAGGCTACTTCTTTGTGAATAAAAGAAAACATGTAAGGCCAATAGTGCAATCGAAGGTTGTATGCAAGAGGTCCCTGCTTTGTGAATCAAAGGCAAACATGTAAGGGGCCAATGGTGCAATCGAAGCTTGCATGCAGGAGGTCCCTACTTTGAATCAAAGGAAGCCTTTAGAAGGTCATTGCCTTCTGAATCGAAGGAAGCGTTCAAAAGGTCATTGCCTTCTTAATCGAAAGAAGCCAGTAGGAAGCCACTAACTTTTGAATCGAAGGACACCAACAGGAGTCCCTTGTTTTCTGAATCGAAGGAAGTTGTTTCAAAAGGAAATAATGCCCAGTCGAAGCTAGCATGAAGATGACCATTTATTTAATCGAAGCTTGTATGAAGCAACCATGCAAATGGCCATTTCCTCAATCGAAGCTTGGGAATTTGAAGCAAGTTTGAAGGAGGCCAGATGCCCAATCGAAAGTTGGTGAATCAAGCTTGCATCGAAGGAGGTCATTTGTCAGATTTTAAACTTGAACTGTTGTCTGCAGTCACTCCTTTCGATCTGCTTTGTACTTATGCAAACTTGAGATTTTGAAAAGCTTAGTGAGATATATCTTGAGAAATTGAGAGGGAAATTTTTGGGGTACAACATAATCCAATTAAAATAAATCAAAAAATTGAAAATGATTAAAAATAGAAAGCATAAAAATAAATTTTCAAAAAAATTACACAAAGTCGGAAATAATGAAAATAATTTTTGTGAATTTTTTCATAATTTTTGGAATAAAAATGGAAGAGAAATGAATTTTTAGAAGTTAAATGAATTTAAAACAAAATTAAATAAAATTAAATAAATCTGGAAAAATGTGGCGCGTTGGATCAAGAGTCACTTAAGTGACATGGCGCATCTGATGGTGTAGACACGAAGGCGCATGGTGGAATTTGTGAAGAAAATTGCATCAGATCCAAATAAAAATAGCCAATGGAATTAAAACACTTGGCATCATATCATTGGCCAAACTATTTGAAAACAAACTTAGGTTCCACGCAACACTTCCAATCATCTTCTTCGGTTAAGTGTCACCGGAGTTTGGTCATTTTGCAACCTTAGGCTACAAATCCACCATCAGAAAGCATTAGTGAATTGAGGACTATATTGTGGTGTCTTATTTGAATCAAATGGATGTCTATAACTACCTATACAAAGTGTAACTAAAAGAGTAAATCAGAGCAATTGATTGAGGAGTTTTAGAGCATGCAGGCCTTGATTCTTGTTCCCTTAGCTTCAAAGAAGAAAAGAGAAGAGAGTAGAACTCGAAAATTGGCTTGAAAAGGCCTCGACGTATGAAAACAAAATCTCACAATTGGGAGGTCTGGAATGAATTATGACAGGGTGTTTTTGGCTCTAAAAAACTTTGGAAATGAATGGAAAAATGTCTTATTTATAGGGAAGTCGATGCAATGGTCAAGCGTGTGAAATGATCAAGAGTTCTCCCAATTCGTGTGAACCAAGAATGATGAAAAGTGTGACATGTGAAAGGTTTAAAATGCATCCAAAACTTGTGTTTCCATGTTGTTTTTACTTCATAACACTTCTTAAACATGATTAGAATGGAAAACACGTCTTAATTTGGCTTAAAATTGAGAATTAGTGAGCTTCAAATTCTGACTATGGTGCAAAAATCAGTTTCATGAGGTCATGTTTACACCAGTGGGAAATCATGTACAAGGAATATTTATGACTCCTTCTCTTTACAAAATACTCACGTCATCACAAAGAGTATAATGTGACAAGAAAGTATTGATTTAGATGCTTGTGGAAAAAGTTATGACATGTTAAAGTTGGTACAAAAACCAGAAAATGAAAGTCTTGAAATTTCTAAGTTCAAAATGGCCTGTAATGTTTCAATATTTTCTGTGGCCCTCCAAGCATAATTGGACTTTGAACCTTGAAGAAAACTTGTAGAGGGAATAACTAATTATAAGTATAAAAAAGAATCACTCAAAAATGTTGAAAATTGAGAGAGTTATGATCTTAGAAAGTTGGACAAAATTCAATTAAAATTAGGTCAAATTCCACTAAGTCCATAAAGTGACCTCTACTGTTTCCAAGATTTTGATGATCTTCCAAACATAATTAGCTCTTTACTTGTAAATGAAAGTTGTTGATGATGTCAAGGTTAATTATATGCCTAAAGGATGACTAAAAAATGTTGAAAATGAGTGAGTTATGATATTTTGAATTTGGACTTGAAATATTGACTTTTTGGTCAAACCACCTTGATCAAACTTGAATATTTTAAGCTTTTCTTGCAATTCAAGGTGCATTGATGATCATATGAACTCAAAATTATGTGCCCTTTAATGTTCTTTGATTAACTTGGTCAAGGCTTGAGGTGACTTGTTGTAGAAGGCATGGAAATAAACACACAAACCTTTGAAGTTTCCTGAGAAACAAGTTATCAATCCTTGAGGTACTCTTGCTCAAGATGAGATTGAATGATGCTTGAGACCTTATGCTTTGAGATCAGGGACCATGCTTTGATGTTCAAGCCCTTGAGAACCAATGATTGACTATACTTTTGACTTTGAGGAAATAAACCCTAGTTGGGGAACCATGCTTTGATAATATTGACTCAAAGCCTACCTTGCACAAAAATGCATATTTTTTATATTTTGATTAGTGGTTAGTATAACATAAATTATATAGACACAAAAGATAAAGATACACAAGGAGGTGCTTGATGATCTCTACAAGGGTAAGACTTAGAGAGATAAAGGTTAAGAAGCAATCAAGTTTGTGATCTTGATGATATGCAATGATGCAACATGATTTGAGATCTTATGAGTAATAATTAGGGTATGACAATGAACAATGTACATGTTTAATGTTTTTAATATTAGAGAATTAAAAATACGGTTAATGTGTATGATGTAATTTAGGAATTATATGCGTGTCAGTTGTTAGGGACAAGTTAAAGAGTTCTATAAGATCTTAAGATGTAGAAACCTTGTGAGATTAATGAAAAGAGAGGTAAGATGAAAATTCTTCAACTTGTGATTAGGACACCTGCTAGTGATTTACTTATAATTTTTAGACAAAATATCAATTTTGGTCTCTTAACTATAGTTTATGGTTCACTTTGGTCCCTTATCTTTTTTTCGTGTCAAATTGGTCCCTTAATTTTCATTGGTCCCTTAATTTTCAAAACGATACAAACAAGTCCCTTCTATCTACTCTGTTATTCAAAGTCTATTAAAAATCTATGTAGCACATTTGACCAACTATTATGACGAAGTTAGCGTCAGAAAAATCAACGCTAAAAACTATATTATTATTCACCCATCGGTTGCCTCAAACTAACAACTCAATGTTGTCTCTTCAAAATAAAACAACAAGGCTTCAACATTTTTAAAAACGGAATAGCACTCTCAAATAGTTCTAACTTTCAAGGGAGGATTGATCTAACCTTCAACCATTTTAACCATTTTAGGAACCTTGTACTCACTATAAACCACTCTCAAATAGCATCGTGAAACTAACAGATCTGCTCACTCTTCACCACACCGTTAAATAACCATTGATCTACATCCTCCATGTAAACCATAACAACCACATTAACCTCCATAATCACAAACCTCACATAATCCCCAACCTAAGTCTACAACAACAACACAAACAACAAAGACGAAGGAGAAGAATAGCTGAAGAGTTTCTGAAAGAATATTTATCACCTTCAAAACCTTTGAATCCGTGATTTCATCGTGGTAAGACTCCGATTTCATCTCGTTACCTCCTTGTGCGTCTTCTCTTTGTTTTAATCGTGGATTTCTGTTGGAAATTTGGACTTAGGGTTAGGTTGGGAACGAGGCCGATCCGACCATTTTATTGAGAATCTTGGAAATCCAAGCTCAGATTCATGTTCTACGCGTAAAAATGGAAGGGATTGGTGTTAAGATTATCGAATTCATGGTTGGTTTGCGGCGGGGACGCCGCGGCATTCCTCAGCATCGATGTGTTATTTCTCACCGCCACCGCGGGTGTTCTTGTGTACCACCGGTTCAGATTTGTTGTCTGGACTTTTATTTAATTTTTGTTGTTTCAAGAGAAAGTAAAAGAAAGAGACGCTGAACTGAGAGAGATAATTCCGTTTTAAAAAATGTTGAAGTGTTGTTGTCATTTTATTTTGAAGAAACAACATTGACTTCTTAGTTTTAGGCAACTGGTGGATGAACAATAATTAAAATCCACAGATAATTTTTAGCGTTGGTTATTCCGAGTCGGTTTATTTGACGCTAACTCCATCCCAATAGTAGATTTTTAAGAGACTCTGATTAGCGGAGTAGACTGAAGGGATTTATTTATATCGTTTTAAAAATTAGGGATCAATTTAACATGACTAAAAGACAGAGACCAAAGTAAACCGTGACCCATAATTATTACATGAATCCTTTAATTGTAAAGATTGAATCATTAGAATCTAGGCAAAAATTAATTATTTTTTAGGTGCAAGTTTTTTCTTTCAAATCTACCAAAGTCGTACCATCACCGAGTATAAATTTAGATTCTATGTTATAATCACTACAAGAAATAACAAATCTCGCAGCAACTTTTTTGTAGCAACTTTCAATTTGCTAACAACGACATACATTTAGCAACGATTAATTTAAGTCACCGTAATAAATTATTTTTCTCAACAATTTTATTATCGTTGAAAAAAATGACTTATCACAACCATTATTATTGTCCTTGAAAATCATACAAATTTAAATATGTATATTGCAGCTACTAATATAAGTCGTTATAATAACTTTCTCTCTCTTTCACAAGTATCATATTGTTGTTATATATATATATATATATATATATATATATATATAAATATATATATATATATATATATATATATATATATATATATATATATATATATATATATATATATATATATATATATATATATATATATATCATCGATTAATTTAAGTTGTTGTAGTAAATTATCTATTGCAACAATTTTATTTTCGCTGAAAAAATTACTTATTTTTAAATAAATTATTGATATATTTAAGTCCAACGTAAAAAAAAATGTTTTTGTGAATTAATGTGATTTTGGACCGTTCGTGCCAGCAGAATTATTGATTTTAATGCTTTGACGTTAGTTGAAGAAGGAAATATTTCCATAAAAATCGCTGCCACTATGACGATAATTGTTTGCAGATTTGTGAAAGGGAGGTTTCAATGTGGCGAGTTTTTCTCGCATTAAACAGTGATGGCCAAATTTTCTCTACAATTATGAGATTTGAATATTTTGTGCCTATTTCCATGTTCAACTGTTGCCAAAATTTTGGGTTAATATATCTACAATTATGGAGTAAAATATTGTGATCGGAATTCCTACGTGTGCATAATGGCTCTTTAATTTTATTTTTTACAGTTTTTGTATTTTTAAACTTAACTGCGCAGAGATTGGATAATCATGAGATATTCAAAATTTAAAATATATTTTGTTTAGATTTTGCTATTTTATCGTGAATTTGGAGTTAGCATAAATTTCTTCTACAAAAAGATATCAATTTAATGACTAAATAATTTCAACGAAGCTAACCTTAAAATTTTTTAAGAAAGAATCTAAAATATTTTATTTAAAAAAAATCTAAAACGAAGCCAACCTTAAAATATTTTAAGAAAGAATCTAAAATATTTTATTTAAAAAAAAATCTAAAGTGAAATATAGACTTATTCTTCTATTTGTAATTTTAGTAATTTCTTTCTAAAAATAGTCAATTTGATATAAATATAATTTTATTTATAATTAATGTTTCATCTGTCGTATGTTTTTAATATTATGTATATTTTATTTTGGAATCACAAAAACGTGTGATAATGACTAAACAAAATAAGAGATGGATTAAACTTAAAGATAGAAGTTTACCAGTTATGAGAATTGAGAGTACCACGGAGAATCTTCAAGTGATTCATCAAGTGATAATAATTTTCAGGATACTTTATGAAATGCATCAATCATTTAATGCACATATTGAAAAGGTTTTTGATCATCCTATGTCAAGTAATATCAATGAAGAGCCAAACAATGAAGCTAAAAGATTTTATGGATTCGTGTAAGATGCTGAACAAAAACTATATCCATGTTGTAAAAAAAATTTCAAGTTATCTTTTATTATGCGATTTTTTCAAATGAAATGTCTTCATGGATGGAGCAATAACTCACTTGATTTACGGTTAAAGTTATTGATTAAAGCTTTTCCTGAAGGTAATGTGCTTCTTGGCTCAATACACGAGGTTAAAAAGATTATAAAGGATGTTGGACTTGATTATGTTAAGATAGATGTTTGTGTTAATGATTGTATTTTGTATAGAGAAAAGGACTACGAAAATCTTGATAAGTGTCATATTTGTGAGATAAGTGTTAGAATTAATTTAGATTTAATTAGATGTTAATTTATATTTAGGAATATCTTTTAGATTGTTTATATCTTTGTTAGAAGATATAAATCTTAGATCTTCTTATATCTTTGTAGAAGATATATTTTAGATTTAATTTGTGTGTATAAATAGCCTAGTGGAGTAGGTTATTGTAATTCATTGTAAATCCTTATTTTTGAAGTGATCAGTCAATATTCTTTTGCCTTTTATCTTCCTTGTGCTCCAACAAAAAGTAGGTGGAAAGAAAACATGAAGAAGAATAATGTCCCTAATAAGATAGTTCGTTATTTCCCATAAAACCAAGACTACAAAGACTGTTTGTGTCAAAACAAGTTGCAGAAGACATGAAATGGAATAAAAATAAAAGAGTTGATGATGGGGTTTTTAGACACCGAGCTGACTCTTTGACATGAAAAAGTTTGATGATGAACATATATTTTTTTCTGCATATGTGCATAATATAATGTAAGACTTGGCCTAGCCTCAAATAGTTTTAATTCCTTTGGTATGATGAGCCCCAACTATAGCATGTAGCCAGTTGTTTTAGTTCCTTACAACTTACCTCCCTGATTATGTATGAAACAACCTAATTTTATGTTAATATTACTTATTTCGGGACCAAATAGTCCTAGAAATGATATTGATGTTTATCTTCAGCCATCAATTGATGACTTAAAAGAGTTATGGGATATGGGTATTGAAACCTATGGTGCATCTTCAAGCTTTAATTTTCAATTACATACGGCCTTGTTATGGACTATAAATGATTTTCCAGCTTACAGGATGCTATCTGGATGGAGTATTAAAGGAGCATTAACATATCCTTACTGCAATAAAGAAACTATCTCACGTCATTTAAAATATAGTTTCAAGCAATGCTACATGGGTCATCGTAGATTTTTACCTACTAACTATCATTGGCGCAATAATAAGAGCTCATTTGATAATACAATAGATGTTAGACATGCACCAAAACCATGACTGGAGATAATGTCATAGCACAACATGAAAATATAGAGTAAGTGATCTTTGGTAAGACTATAAAAAAACGAAAGCAGAATGAAGGTGAAAAGTATAATCGGAAGAAAAAAGTTTATTTTTTGAATTATCTTATTGGAGGACTTTACTATTAAGGCATAATCTAGATGTGATGCATATAGAAAAAAAATATTTGTGAAAGTGTTATTGGGATATTGTTGAATATTGATGGAAAAACAAAATATACTTTAAAGTCTCGACTAGATTTGAAACACATAGGACTCAAAAAGTCACTCCAACCTATTAAAAAGAGAGACAAGTATACAATTCCTCCGACTCGTTACACGATGTCATCAGCAAAAAAGACTAAATTTTGTCAAGTATCGAAAGATGTTAGATTTCCTGACTCATATGCTTCAAATATAGGTGGTTGTATAAATGCAAAGTAGTGCAAGATACATTAATCGAATTATCACTATTTTTTTGTGACTTGTGTTCTAGAGAGTTAAAAATGGATGAATTAGACCACTTAGAGAAGTATATTTCAACAACCCTTTGCAAATTAGAGTGCATTTTCCCACCATCTTTTTTTGATGTTATTGTTCATCTATCGATTCATTTGGCAAATGAAGCAAATCTCAGAGCTGCAATTCAATATAGATGAATGTATCCTATTGAAAGGTTAATATGTCTAAATTTTAAATATTTTAATTTTTAATCAAATAATAATTTTTATATATTTTCTTCCAGATTTTTACGAATACTAAAAAAATTACGTGCGTAACAAAGTGCGTCTTGAAGATTTTATAGCAGAAGGTATTTAGCAGAAGAGTGTATGATAATTTGTGATGGATATTTGGTTGATATGAACTCTAGACTAAATCAACCTGATAGATATATAGATTGTGTAAGTAACAAATAGCACAAATTTATCTATATTTAAAAACAATGGTCGATCTATAGACGGAGATTCTTGTGAAAATATAAGTGTTTTTGAAATTCACCTGACTCATTTTTACGTATTACAAAATTGTGAAGAAGTCAGACCTAAGATTGAGTAAGTATACTTATTCTAACTTTACTTCAATATAAAAATTATAACTAACCATATTTTTTTCTATCTAAGTTTGTATTTAATAATATGAGGGAGCACATGCCAAAGATAAGAAATGAAAGTAATATAAATTTATAAAAGAGGCACATGGACCAATTTCACAAGTGGTTTGAAAGAGAAGTAAGTGTCTTTTATAATAAAAATTGAAGGCACTAATTAAGTTATGTTGTTAATTGTTTTATAAATTGATTTTTCAACGATATTATTTGGATAATAACTGTTATATTATTAAAATGTGATTGGTTTGAGGCTCTTTCTCAAGTTCGAAATCAAGGAAGAGGATATAAAAAAGATGAATATGGATTTATTAGTCTAGCAAAATGACAACGAAAATTGGTATACTGTGGTAAAAGTAAAACCAAGGAATGTTTATGATTTTCCACGCGATGAAGATGACTCAGAGCCATATCAACTAAATGAGTTCAACAATAACAATATATATATGGCACCATTAGAAACATCATTATTGGACCAAAGAGAGGTTTTAAACCGAAATGATATTGGTGGAACAAGCTTTGAACATACTATTATCGAAGAAGAAGAGCTCAAAGTATCAAATGATGCAAGTGACTATGTTACTGATGATTACGAATATGAATCTTTAATAAATGAGGATGAAGACTCTAATTCTGAATAAAAATAGTTTTTTTATTATTTCTCTTATAAATAAGTCTTTCAAGTATAAAATGTTAGAATAATACAGCAAGTGTGAGTAAGTGGAGAATTAGTCTCATATTGAATAGAAATGTAGAAACTTAAGCATATATAAGTAGGAAAACCCACTCACCTATAACCTTAAGGTTTTAGGTGGATAAGTGGTGTGTCTCTCATAAATGTGTTTATTCTTACACTATAGATCGATGTGAAACAGTATCACAATATATATATGGGAATGATAGGATATATATATATTGCAGCCACAATAGGAATAAGAGAGATTAATGTTAACAACTTTAGCAGCAAGTTGTTTACAGACTCAGATGTGAAAAGAGAATAGAGGGAGAAGAATAATCACCCTACAAATCACATAACATCAAATATTCTCCTAGTACAATATATATAGCTGACATTAAGGTTTCACAAATTCCTTCCACATGCTATGCGTCTTCCTTGCTCTCTCTCCTCTGCGTGGTTGTGCCTCACCACTAGTGGAAGCCTCACATTTTTCCTCCATGTGCTGTGGGACCCGTATCTGTTGTGCTGACTCACTTGTTTCTAGAAGGCTATTATTCTTTTGTCTCATTACAATACCATCCCCATTAAACACAACCTTGTCCTCAAGGTTGTAGGAAGGAAACTTCTTTTTCAAGTCATCAATATCCTCCCACGTTGCTTCAGCTGTAGGATGCTGATCCCATTGGACAAGAACCTGATGAACTTTCTGATTGGCTTTGATTATGGTTCGAGCTTGTAAAACTTCGGTTGGCTGTATGATTGGTCCAATCTCAGACATAGTGAGAGGTAATGGCATGTACTGATTCTGAGGTACACCTTTGAAAGGCTTAAGCTGAGATATGTGGAAAACCGAATGAATTTTGGCATGCTCCGGTAGCTTGAGCTTATAGGCAACTTCTCCCACTCTTGCTATGATCTCAAACGGGCCAAAATATTTCATTCCCAATTTCTGATTCTTGCGCAGAGCAACCGACTGTTGTCTATATGGTTGAAGTTTCACTAAGACCAACTCACCAACTTGTAAGGTCAGATCTCTTCTATGCTTGTCAGCCTGTTTCTTCATATATTGCTGAGCCCTCTCCAATTGAGTTTTCAACTGCTGCATCAATCTATCTCTCGCTACCAATTCCTCCTGCAGTGTTGGAGGATCATTAGCATGGGGTTCATATCTTGTCAGAGTTGGTGGATTTCTCCCATACAAAGCTTTAAATGGCGTCATTCCAATGCTAGTTTGTAAAGCTGTGTTGTACCAAAATTCTGCCCAAGACAAAGCTTTAAACCAGGACTTAGGATTGTGAAAAGTGAAACACCTAAGAAACAGTTCTAATCCCTTGTTAAGGACTTCAGACTGACCATCAGATTGAGGATGGTACGCAGAAGACATTGCTAATGTTGTACCCTGTAGCTTGAATAGGTGTTGCCAAAAAGAGCTTGTGAACACCTTATCTCTATCAAAAACTATAGATTTAGGCATCCCATGTAATTTCACCACATGCTGCATGAAGATTTCAGCAACTGATCTGCTAGAGTAATCACTTTTCATTGGTAAAAAGTGAGCATACTTTGTCAGTCTATCCACTACTACCAGGATAGTAGTAAAACCGAATGACATTGGTAGGCCAGTAATAAAGTCCATAGCTACATCCTCCCATACCTGTGATGGTATAGGCAATGGCTGTAACAATCCAGCAGGCAAGGTATTAGATGACTTAGCTCGTTGACAGACACTGCAATTCTGAACATATTGAGATACATCCTTCTTCATGTCAGGCCAATAGAATTGAGCCTTGATTCGGGCCATAGATCTCGTAATTCCAGCATGGCCCCCTATTGGAGAAGAATGAAATTCCTGTAAAACTTGCTGAACCAAATCTTTATGTTGGGAAATAACAATTCTCTTTTTCCAATAGAGTAATCCCTCTTTGAATGTGTAATGTAAATATGTATTGCCCTGCTGTATGCACTTATCAATGACTTCTTTCCATTGACTATCTGCTTGCAACTCCTCTCTAATGGATTGTATAAATTTGCACTGTGGTTCAGACCAAGATAATGTCATCAATCTAGACAAAGCATCTGCTGCCATGTTTTCTTTGCCTGGTTTGTACTCGATGGTGAAGTCATAGCCCAAGAATTTATGTAACCATTGTTGTTGCTCTGGTGTCTGCAGTGATTGATCCATTAAACTCCTCAAGCTCTTTTGATCCGTGCGAATGATGAATCTATGTCCCAGCAAATAGTGTCTGAACTTTGCTATTGCTTCAGAAATAGCTAACATCTCTCTAAAATAAGCTGATTTCTTTTGATTTCTAGGGACTAGCTTCTTTGAAAAATAGGCTATAGGGTGACCCTCTTGATGCAACACTGCACCCACCCCTACCCCAGAAGCATCTGTTTCCAGTATAAATGGTTTTTTAAAATTGGGTAAGGCCAATACAGGAGCAGAAATCATGACCTTCTTCAATTGATTAAAAGCTATCTCAGCCTGTTCATTCCACACATAGCTCTCTTTTTTGAGTAAATCAGTCAATGGGGCAGCCAACTTAGCATAAGATTTTATAAATCTTCTATAATACCCTGTGAGGCCCAAGAACCCTCGTAATTGCTTAACATTCTTAGGTAGAGGCCACTCTTGAACAACTTGTATTTTGTCCTTGTCCATGGAAACACCTTGTCCTGTTACTATATGTCCAAGGTAATCAATCTCAGAAACCCCAAACGAACACTTAGACAGTTTGATGAACATTGTATTAGCTTGCAGTATACTTAATACCTCATCTAAATGTTTCAAATGCTCCTGCCATGTAGGGCTGTAGATTAGTATGTCATCAAAGAAGACTAACACATACTTTCTCAAAGCATGCTGAAAAATGTGATTCATGAGACTCTGGAATGTGGCTGGAGCATTTGTTAGACCAAATGGCATGACCAGCCATTCATAGTGACCTTGGTGTGTTCTGAATGCTGTCTTGTATCTATCTTCTGGTTGTAGCAGTATTTGATGATAACCAGACCTGAGGTCCAACTTTGAGAAGTATTCCGCTCCAAAAAGCTCATCTAATAGCTCATCAACTGTAGGAATTGGAAATGAATCCTTGACAGTTATAGCATTTAGAGCCCTATAATCAGTACAGAACCTCCATGTGCCATCTTTCTTTTTCACCAATATGATTGGTGAAGAAAAAGGACTTGTGCTTGGCTGTATAATCCCCTGTTGTAGCATTTCCTGAACCATGTGCTCAATTTGAGCCTTCTGGCTGTGTGGATACCTGTATGGCTTAACCTTCACAGGGTTAGAGCCCTCTATCAAAGGAATATGGTGATTATGAGCTCTGTTGGGTGGCAATGTATTTGGCTGGTGAAACAAACATTTGTAGGTGTGCAATAATATTGCCAACTCAGGATCAATGTTGTTAGGCAACTCTTTCAAAACATCTTCGGCAGTATAATTTTCTTGCCATTGGATGGTAAAGTATTCAGCTATAGCATCAGTGTTGTGGAATCGCCTAAAATGGTGTAATTGTGCTATTGCTGGTGTGGGAGCTCTTTCCCCTTCAAGTGTCACAAACTTACTATTGAAAAAAAACTTCAATGTAAGTGAAGCATAATCAGCTACATGGGGTCCTAATGTAGCTAACCAAGCTGCTCCCAATATCACATCTGCTCCAGCTACCAGTAGTAAAAACACAGGGACTTTCAACTCATTGCCTTGTATATTTAATGGTAACTCTTGAATGACCCCTTCGGCAGTCATCAAATCACCATTTCCCACCAGCACTCTGAAAGGTGGCCCTGGTTCAATAGGTATTTTCAGAAATTTGGCTATGCGAGGTTGCAAGAAGTTATCTGAACTGCCTCCATCAATTAGCACTTGTACCTTGATATTTCCAATTAGACCAGAAAATCTAAGTACGCCCAAATTAGAATCGCCTTTCATGGCATTTAAGGATAAATGATGTTGAGGTTGTTGCTGGTGAGGATTATCTGCGATTTCATCATTTTGTGTTTCTTCCACTACATTGACTGGTTCATCTGAATCATCATAATGGAGCAGCATCAGTTGTCTATTGGGACATTTATGAGTGAAGGAGAACTTGTCATCGCACCAATAACATAAGCCCTTGTCTCTTCTCAGTTGCATTTCAGCAGGTGAGATGCGTTTGATATTGGGGTTCTTTTGGAATTGGCTCATAGGTCTCGTGGGGGGTGTGTTAAGGATGGGAGTAGTATTTTTTTGGTTGTTTTCTGGTTTGGCTAAATTGAAGGGTGGTTTGTAGTAAGTGTTTGGGTTGCTTTTTTGTGGTTTGGTTGATTGGGTGTATTTTTCTTCATAGACTTTGGCTAATGAAACTGCTTTGACAATGGAGGTGGGTGTATGGATTAACACGTCTCGACGAATCTCAGTATTGAGTCCACTAATGAAGCAATCGATTAAAGCATCATTGCTTAACCCATAAACTCGGTTAGCTAAAGCAGTGAACTGAAGATAATACTCAGAAACCGTTCCTGTTTGATTCAATTTAAACAATGTGGCGCGAGGGCATTCATATATGGATGGTCCAAAATCTAATTCTAAAGCACGAGTAAATTCCAGCCAAGAATGAAACGGATTAGAACGTTGTACCATTTGGAACCAAGGCACAACATCTTTATCAAGATGTACAGAGGAAATAGTTAATCTATCATGATCCGGGGTATCATAATACCCAAAAAACTGCTCAGCACGAAAAATCCATTCATGCACATTCGTGCCGTCAAAACGAGGAAACTCAAGTTTGATATTTCTCACCTGAAACGGAGGTCTGTTGTTGAGTTCTGGACCATGGCGATTTTTCGACGGTGTTTGCTGAATAAGGATGTCAAGCGCTGTGTGAATCTCGTCGAACTTTGATGCGTTCCCAACTTCCAGTCGCTCCATACGTTCTAGTATTTCTGTCTGAAATAGCTTCAGTTCTTCCGTGT